TGACTTTTTTTTTTTTTTTTTTTATTGTATATATCCTGGCTCGTGTTTTAAATTAAAAAATATTTTTTCGTTTAAATATGTTAAAAGCCCCTGTATGACATTAGGCAGTTATTCCACGTTGCTTATTGTTTTTTTCATATCAATAAAGTGGGATTTATGTAGAATTTCTAAAAATAAATATTATACTGTATGTTTCGGATTTAAAAAAAAAAAACATTTTTTTATTTACATATATTTTTATATACCGTAAAATCGCCTAAGTTCAGTCATTTTAGCTTTAAACATTCATTTATCTCGCTTAAATTAAAATATTTTCATTTTTCCCCTGAAATTTACAGACAATTTTATTGATAATTGATATAGTAAAAATAAAAAAATGAAACATAAAAACTAGTACTCATTATTTATTTCAGATGAGAACATCTTCTTTGACCGAACTTTCAATACTCATAAGTTCGGTCGCTAATAACGCATCACGTCACAAATAATGAAAATTAATTTTAAAATGTTGTACTATTATTTAATGATAATAGAATATCAGGCATCGTCCTGGGTTCTAAAAAAAACCGTGAGATTTACAGTGTTGATATATGGAAGTCTCTTTGGATTATGATATAGTATTTGAATATAAAATTTTGATTACCTCCACTAGTTGTTGTTTAATAGTAGGTTTGCTAAACAAACCAGCTTCCTTTGCCAAAAGTTTTTGAGTCCTAATTGAATTAGTCTTCTGTTTTGTTTTTCACGCAAAATCTTAGTAGCTTGTATTTTGTTTTTCTTATTTTGTGCCATTGTTTGTTTATTTACTTGTTCTATCAAAGCTTCTTCGGAAGTCATAATGTAACACTTCATGAGGAACATGTTATTATTAGAAACATTCAACTTTGACTCTGATAAGAAACCTTTGGGCATGCCAACATGTAAAGCATTTAAAATTGATGTCTTTAAATGCTCACAAAAAGTTGTGCAGCATGTTTAAGGAGGTCTTAGTTTTAATGAGGTCAATGAAGTATGTGTGCTTGAAGTTCTATGATTTTGTATACTTGGAATTTTTGGAATTGCGGTAACTGATATAGACAGTGTTGGTAAGGCTTTACTTTGCGCAAAAATTGATCAAACAGCTAATTTTTATTAATTATTTTTTTTCCAACACAAGGGAAAAATACCTGTTGCTTTGAAACCAAGACGCGCATTGCCGCTTAAAAAGCTTTAAACAATAAGCTTTTTGAGCGACCCAGAATAGCTAGGTTTAGTGGAACCATTTACTTTTTACCGTCTTGAATGCGCCTACATTAAGTGGCTGTAGCACGTGAGATGTTTGACCCGGTAGCTTAAAAATAATAATACTCTCCTCTTTTGCTAAGTGAATTAATTTCAGCATTAGATGTTAGGCATGGCCATCTAGAAAAAAAGATTTGGATCCTTTAAGCTTGCAACAATGTGGGATAAATGTCTTTTCAAATCATCCAGCATAAGCAGGTCCTTCCATCCATCCAGATTGCGTGACACCATAGGTAGCACCGTTTGGCCCGTCCTGAGTTAAAAGCCATTTGGATATCAAAAATTCAAATAATTAAATAATAGTTTTTAAAATACGGGGTTTTCCGGATTCATCGTACATCTGTTTTATATCCTTCTTAAAGGAAATACCTAAATTTATCATAAATACATTTGGCCTTGGAAAAAAAATGAACATGCAAGAATGTCCCAAAAGCGTCACAGCAAACGAGTATTGTGAATGAAACAATTGACACACTACTTTAAATTTGCCTTGATCACATTAAAGCAATTAAATGTGGAATGACTTAGTTGCGAATCCATGTATGTAGTAAATATTAGGAACTTGTGCAAACCTTGATTAAATAACTTAAAAAAATTATAGGTTATTAAAATGTTATAAACTTAACAGTTTATAAAAAAGGGACAATTGTAAACATTACAATCAAATCGAATTTTACCTTTTAGAAAATGTGCCTTTTTTTATCAAAAAATAATCATATTTTACTATTTATTTATATATAAACAAATAAGTTTAATAAATACAATCGATCAATAGTGCCTGGCTATGTCGACATTGCACGGTTTAACGGCATAATATTTGAAGTTCTGAGCGATAAGTTATCACTATGGTGTCTAATAAATATGTAATACCAGGCAAGTGTAAAATCGCCACCATATAAACACATTTAAATTGAATTAAAACAAGTATTTATTAACAACACATAGCATTTCAAGTCTAGTCAAACTAAAACCAATATCACTCATAAATATTAAAATTTTTAATAAAATGTCTTTGATGTTGTTGCTCAACTTATTTAGTTATATAATTAGCTATTTTTTTTAGTATGCTTGCCGTTTCTTCTGTCGACGAAAGTTGATCTTTTGAAGGCAAATGTTCCCGAGAAAAATAAAAAAAAGGCTAATATTGCTCGGAAACTGTCTAACTTCCTATTAATTCTGTTAAGTGCGAGCTAAACTTATTAAGTTCCATTTAATCTGATGATTATGAGTATTTCTTAAGTAAGTACTTATCAGGATTAAACGAAATATAAGTATTTGATTAATTTTCACAAACGATGCAAATGTAAAAATTCTGATTTTATATACGCAATCTTTTTTTTTTATCACACTATAGCTGGTTCCTTTTACTCATAATTTTCTCCACAGCCTTCAAACCACGAGCCATGCTTTCTCACGTAAATCCATAGATGACCTGGATATATTAACTTGAAAAAGAACTATATTAGTGAGTTGCAATATATATTATTATTTTGTTATTAGTTCATATTCAGTGATTTAAATTTACCATTGTATTTTGAAATCAAAATTTACCTACAAGTTGACTGGTAAATTTTATTTAAAAAAAAAAAAATAGTTTTTGAATTATAAACAAATTCTTTATTTAAATAAAATACCATGGTGAGTATCCATTATAAAAATGTCAAAATTTACTGGTAAATTTACAGGTAAAGTTACCTGTAAATTTACGCAATCGCAACAAAAGTTCATATTCACTAAGTCGCATTTTTAACATATCAACATTTCTGCTACTTGTCTTCAATGATGTCTGCCATTTGTCTTCGATTACTTCAATGATGGCACCAGCAACAGCTGCAGGGTTTTGAATTTTGCCTCATGTGTTGATCGTCATTACCTACTTTACGGACCTAGAGTAAAGTGAGTTTAGGAAGAAAGAAGGTTTTATTAAGGTATATTAAAGTGAAAGACAGAAGTAGTTGTATAGCATAGAGAAAGTATAGCATAGAGAAAGCGGACAGGAATTGCATACGATGTTAGAAGGCCCAATAATACTGTTAGTCGAACCGACGAGTTTACTTGATATGAACTCTTTCTCAAGTAATTTTTTTTTTTTTTTTTTTTATAAAATAGTATTTATTTACAATTATAAAAAATACATTATCTCAACATGTTAAAAATTAAAGTTTTACAATATATATATTCGTTTTACAATGAGTTGATTTTCTTTTTCAAAAACGTTAACAGAAGCTACAATAATAATAAAATAAAATAATAATAATACAAGTGTTGCCGTATATATATATATATAGTTTTTTCTTTTCATATTTTGTAATTTTTTTTTTTTTTTTTTCTCAAGTAATTTCGTCATCGTTAGAGCGCCAAAAATTAACTTATTATTTAAAACTTGATAAAAAACGATGATTTACTATGTTGCTTTATGGTGGTTTACTAATTGCTTGCGGGTTTATTTTTAATATTAATCTTTTTTCATTAACAAATCTTTTCATATTTAAAATACGCAATGATTGCTTGTGGGTTTATATTATTTTTTTAAAATCTTTTTTTAATACTTTTTATTCAAAAATCTTTTTTTTTAATAAAGTTGAAAAAATAACTTATAACATAATTTTGTTTATCATTAATATAAAAATATACTACATAAGAGGGTGGCAATGCAAATGAAAAATTTGTACTTTATCTTATATTACTTTTATTTAAAAAATTTTTATCCTTAAAAAAAAAAAAATATTTCGCTCCTTTAATCGTTTTTTTAATAAAGATAAAAACGTTGATTTAGTAACAAACGCCTTGCTAAATATCATAACTCTCTATAAAGACTAAAAAATAGAAAATAAAATATAGCATAAATATTTGCTAAAAATTATAATTTTTTTTGTACTAAAAAGTAGAATAAATTTTTAATTTAAATTTAATAGTTTAGCAAACTAAAGATTGACAGGTATGTTGCTACATACCTTGTGCAGATTGAACTATCAAATTTAAATTAAAGTTTATTTTCTAAATCTAAAGATTATATTTTTTAGCAAATGTTTTTGTTACATTTTATCTTGAATTGTTGTTCTATTAAAGAATTAGTTCAGCAGTTTGCAAATAAACTTTATTATTTTTTTATAGGCTCATATTAACGAAGTAATAACAAATATTATTCGGGAAAAAAAAGTTTGTAAAATTTGAGTTTTGCATGCTTTTTATATATTTTTTCTTAAATGACCGAAGTTACATGGTGACCGAACCTAGGTGATTTTAAGGTAAAATTTTTTCTATAAAGTTTTTCGTATTTTTATTCGACTGATAAATTTTTAAAAAGCTGTCACTTATCACAAAATGATTACACGACAATTTAAATCATTTTGTACAAGTGACTTCAACAACCAGAATTTATTTTTGATAAATATTAGTAATAACAGGTTAGTAAATATAATTATAATAATAATGGTAATAATTTTTTATTATTAGAATTAGTGAAAGACTTATGTATAATAGAACTTCATTAACTTTAGGGGACAAATATAATAATTTGAGTAAATATTACAATTGTTTGTTACCTGGATTAGAGTAATGTAAGAAAATATTATTTTTATCTAAAGAATATTCGGCAAAAGTCAGTGTTTCCTAAGTATTAAATATTATAAAGAAAAATGTATTTAAAAAAATGTATCATAAAATAAAAAAATAAGTATTTGAGTATAAAAAAAACACATTTATCATTATAATGTATA